GGCCTGCAGGCCGGCATACCCCCGCAGTCCCAATGCACAGCGGTCGCAGGGGCAGGGCGCCACTGGAAAGAATGGGGACGGGGAGCAGAGTAGGGCTGGACACGCGAGCGGCGGGGGTCCAGATCGGCCAGGCGCTGTGGGGCCGGCCCAGCAGTGCCTCTAACTGGCCACGTGCAGCACTGGGCCCCAGAGATGCGGAACTACTGGGGAGGCGACAATAGGCCCTTACTGGGCACCTGGACATTTTCCGCATCATAATGAGTGAGATGTGCACCATCTGGGGGATGGTCTCCTATGAAGGTCAGACTTGTGGGGGAAGGGGGGCAAGGGCATTATTTGAAACCTTAAAATTCGTACCCCCATAACATGCTGTAATAAAAAAATAATGTTCTTATGTTCGTATGACTTTAAAAAATGTTAAAGAGATATCATATATAACTATATAATAGTATTCAAACAAAAGAATATTGAGCCTCTGCTATATACTAGCATAAAGTGGAGACATTAAAACAGTAAATGTGATTGATATTTACAATAGATGTCAAATTATTATTTGTAATTTGGCTTACCTGACATTTTTGTAAAAATAATATCATACTAGATAAAATGGTAATGAAAAATGTTGGAATATCAAGAACATCAAAACACATACTTCAAGAAAACAAAATTGAATCCTACAAATATTAAATATAAGTAAACAAGTTGCCAGAATGTTTAAATATTAGGATATTATTATCATAAAAAATAATTTTCTAACAGTCTGACTTCTATTTTTTCATTGACTTTGAAAATTAATATTGTATGCCTAAAAAGCCTGAGAAACTATACATTTCAAAAAATAGCATACCAAACACAATTAATGCAGAATAATCCATTATATTTGCCATTTATAAATAAATATTTAATAAAATACAGATTCAATTTTAAGTTTTTTCTTTCATTAATCACTTTTTTTCCTATTTTTTAGGAAATCACTAAAGGGAATCACTAATGTGGTATTTTTTATTCTTTATTTAAAAATATATCTTTTCCGGGGAGGGTGCAAAGTCCACATGGCCAACTAGAGACGTTACTTTTCGGACTGTCTGGAGCGCAGGTGGAATATCCGACTGAGGAGAGCGGAAAGCAGCTGCAGCTCAGGTGTGGATCAGAGGAAGAAAGTCCCAAACAAGAAAAACTGCAAAGCTGAGGAAAAAAGAAGACGAGAAGAGAAAACAGCCGTGGTGCAAACCCAGAGAGGCGGGCGTGGGGCCCCCGCACCCCGGGGGCACCTTCCGTGAGCTCCGGACCCCAACACCCGGCGGGCGGCGCTGCCACCCCGCGCGAGCCAGGCCCGCGGCTGCGGAACGGCGGGCAAAGCACGGGCGGAGGCGGGAGTGCCGGGCGGCCCGGCTCCGCCTGCTCCGGGCAGCACCAGGGCAGCGACCGACCCGGGCTGCTCAGAGCCGGGGCGGCCTGCAGGCCGCGGCCCAGAACGCTCCCGGGCGGCATGCGCATGCGCTGTTTGCAGACCGCTAGCACGTTGGGGCGGAAGCGGCTCCGGGACTGAAATGGGAGCGTCCAGCCCGGAAAGCTGGCCTGCCACATCGCAAGGGCCACGCCTCACCCTTGTTTTAGGCAAGAGAAGGCTCCTTGCGGTTAATGTGCACCCTGGGTATCGCAGTCTGTACCAGCGACCTTTAAAGCTTGCCCGAGTGACCTGCACTGGGAACCGCACTCGTTGGGCGTCCTTAGAGCTTGCTCCCGCGGGGACGTCCATGAGCACTCGTGTGCCTGTGTGATGCACAGTGATCTTTCCTTTTAGAAGGATTAGATGACGAGTGAGGAACTTACTCTCAGGACTCTGGGTCTGGAAAGCTCGAGTCCCCTGACCCACTCATTCTCTGTCTTGGGGTTCTCATTCCTCGCGCGAGGTCCCGTCTTGGCCCTGCAGGCCGGGCCTCCCGCAGTCCAATGCACAGCGGCGCAGGGGCAGGGCGCACGTGGAAAGGGGGTGGGACGGGGAGAGGAGTAGGCTCACGGCAGAGCGGGCGGGCGGACATGGAGAGGGCGGGGCGGTGGCTGGAGAGGGCCGGGGCCCCGGGTGCTGGAGAGGGGCCGGGGCGGGTGCTGAGAGGCGGGCGGGGCGGGCGCGGGACATGAGAGGGGGCGGGCCGGGAAATGGAGAGGTTCGGGCGGGACATGAGAGGGGCCGGGGCCCGGGTGCTGGAGAGGGGCGGGGCGGGACATGGAGAGGGGCGGGGAAGGGACATGGAGAGGGGCCACGGGGTGGGTGCTGAGACGGGGCGGGCGGGACAGTGGAGAGGGCGGGGCGGGACATGGAAGGGGGGGCGGGTGCTGGAGAGGGGCGCGGGCGGGTGCTGGAAGGGCGGCCGGCCATGGAGACGGCGGGGCGGGAACATGGAGAGCGGGCGGGTGGGTGCTGAGAGGGCGGGCGGACATGGGAGGGGCGGGCGGGACACTGCGAGGAGGCGGGCGGCAGCGGAATGAGACGCGGGCGGGCGGGACATGAGAGGCGGGGCGGGACATGGAGAAGGGGGTGGCTGGTGGGGTGTGCAGGGTGGGCGAGGGCGGGCGGGCGATGGAGAGGGGCGGGCGGGGCGGGACATGGAGAGGCCAGGTGGTGCGAGCGAGGGCGGGGCGGGGACAATGGAGAGGGGGCGGGGTGGGTCTGGAACAGGGGGGGAGGACATGGAGAGGCGGGGGGTGTGGAGAGGGCGGGGCAGGACATGGAAGGGCAGGTGGCGTGCTGGAGAGGGGCAGGGTGGGGTGCTGGAGAGGGGGGGCCGGGGGGGGGTGGCGTGCTGGAAGGGAGGGCGGGCGGGGTGGACCATGAGAGGGTGGCGAGGAGGACGAGCTGGAGCAGGGGCTGCAGACATGGGGCAAGGGCGGGGGAAATGGGAGGGCAGGGTGGGTGCTGAGAGGGCGGGCGCGAGCGACAGTAGGACGGCGGGTGGGTGCTGGAGAGGGAGGGGCGGGCCGGAGAGGCGGCGGGGTGAGTGCTGAGAAGGGGCCGGGCGCGGGACATCGGAGAGGGGCGGGCGGGACGCGGGAGGGCGGGGCCGGACGCGGAGAGGGGCGGGGCGGGACGCGGAGAGGGGCGGGGTGAGTGCTGGAGAGGCGGGCGGGACAAGGAGAGGGCGGGCGGACAAGGAGAGGGGCTCTGCTCAGTCAAGGAAACACTCAATAGAGTGAATAGACAACCTACAGAATGGGGGAAAATATGCACATGCTATACATCTTATAATGGCTGATAACCAGAATCTACAAATAACTCAAGCAAAATCAGCAAGAGGGCCGGGCGTGGTGGCTCACGCCTGTAATCCTAGCTCTCTGGGAGGCCGTGGCGGGTGGATTGGTCAAGGTCAGGATTTCAAAACCAGCCTGAGCAAGAGCGAGACCCCGTCTCTACTATAAATAGAAAGAAATTAATTGGCCAACTGATATATATAAAAAAAAATTAGCCGGGTATGGTGGCACATGCCTGTAGTCCCAGCTACTCAGGAGGCTGAGGCAGAAGGATCGCTTGAGCCCAGGAGTTTGAGGTTGCTGTGAGCTAGGCTGATGCCACGGCACTCACTCAAGCCTGGACAACAAAGCGAGGCTCTGTCTCAAAAAAAAAAAAAAAAAAAAAAAAAAAAATCAGCAAGAAAAGGTCAAACAATTCCATGAAAAATTATGCTAAAGATATGAACAGAAGCTTTTCAAAAGAAGATAGACTCTAATCATCAGGGAAATAAAAACATTTGCAAATGATAACCATATGAGATAATTACCTACCTCTACTCAGAATGGCTTTAACCAAAAGGTCCCAAAACAACAGATGCTGACATGGAAGCAAAGAGAAAGAAACACTGATACATTGTTGGTGGGACTGCAAACATTATAACTTCTATAGAAATCAATATGGAGATACCTCAAAGAACTAAAAGGAGACCTACCATTTGATCCCTTGGTATTTACTCAAAGAGGGAAAAAAGATACTTTGTAATAAATATACTTGCACTGAAATGTTTATATTAATAACAGCACAATTTACAATTGCAAAGATGTGCAAACAGCCCAATTGCCCATCAATACATGAGTGGATTAATAAAATGTGGTATATGTATACCTTGGAGTATTACTCAGCCATAAAAAATGGTGAGTATCAATAACAACCTGGATGGAACTGGAGACCATCCTCCTAAGTGAAGTATCACAAGAATGAATAAATAAACATCATATGTGCTCACTATTAAATTGAAACTAATTGATCAACACATATGTGCACGTATGGTAGTAAAATTCAATGCAAATCAAACTGGTGAGAGAGGGAGGGGAAGATGAGTGAAATCATATCTAATGGGTACAATGCACACTATCTGGGTGATACACACTTATAAGTTTGACTCACACTGTACAAAAGCAATTCATGTAACTGAAGTGTAAGTACCACCATAATATGTGCTTAAATAAAAGATAGAAATATACATATTCTGAAATATGATTTGGAATTTTATTTATCTTAAATATGACATTAGAGAATATCATTATTTAAATTTAATTTTTCCTGTAGATGTTACTTTTGAAGTTAGCATACACATATTCATTTGGACTGTTTTACATTAGATCATCACATGGTATAATACTATTTATCTATTTCCCATTTTCAGATTTTAAATTCCTTTTAGTATTTTTCTGTTAAAATTGTTCGTAAACATTCTCATATATAATCATTTGGTGTTTTTGATATTTCTAAACTTTTCTTGTATTTTTAAATGACACATAATAATTATATATAATTATGG